TACAAGCTATGCATTCAGCCATGTGAATGAATGAGTAGGTTACTTGAAAGACAAAAACATTAAATAAAAAGAAGCGTAAATATATAGTACCATGAAAATTATACTCCAGAGCAGGAAAAAAAGCTAAACATAAAATAAGGCCTTGGTCAAAAGAAAAGAAAAAAAAAACTAAAAATAAATGATATATGGAGTTTTGGATATTTTTGGTTTCGTTAGGCAAATGACATTCTCACCTCTCTGCAAGCTCCTTGAACATGGAAGTTTGATTCCACCTCACCGGAAAGGGTTAAAAAAGGACTAGTGAACCTGTTGACCAAAAAAAAATATAGATATATATATATATATATATCTATATGTTGGATAATATTGTTTTTGTCAAACAACCTTAGATGATATAGTGTAAATAAAACCTGATATACTATTAGAAATTACTCAAATTTATATAACAAATCTCATAATATGTCTATTTCAATATATTAAGTAGGTCTGAACACAAATCTTGATGTAACGGGGAGTCGATGGAATGGATATCAGATCCCATATAATAATTTCATTTCTAATTGTGACCATCTAAATTGTGTAGGTACCTTTTTTTTTTTGTTTTTTTTTTTTTAACAAGATATAGGTACCTAATTTTCTGAACTTAGAAAAAAAATATCACAATATACTATCGTACTTCTGCCAAGTTTTATATTTCATGTTTTTTTTATATATATTTCATTTTGTTAATACATTTAACATGTTTGAAATATTATTCATTCTGCTGACTATGTTTTTTTTCCCCACTAGGTTCTAATGGCTAATACAATGAAGTTTTGTTTTGCAAGGCTAACTTGCAAATAGATATCTGAGACTTCTAGTTGGATGTTTATGCCTTTATGGGACCTTTTTCTGCTTGAGATGTGATGATGTCATAATAGTAATACCAACGAGGAACGAGGTTTAAAATTTTAATTTTCCCATTTAGAATAGTTGGTGGTCTTTAAATTACATGGCTATACCGCCAACGTAGGTTATATGGGGCCACCCTTCTTATATTCCACATGGGCCACATCACAACAATTAATTGCAGTGAATGAATTATTTCCCAGTCATACTTCTCTTTCTTAATGAATCTTGCATGTTTCACGACTACTACGGTTTAAGACAGAAAGATTCACTGTATCTATTCATCGGCACCAAACACAAACTAAAGAACGTATCATATATTGATTGAAGATTATAAAACTCGACGAAGATAACCGAATGTTAATTGAAAAAATGATATGCTAGCTACTTTACTGTTTTCTTCAATTCGTGTTATATAATATACTAATTACTGTATTGATCATTTCAGTTACTTAGATGTTCATTGTGTAATATAAATCTCTATTTTCTTTGGTTCTAAATTAGCATTACTTAATAGATTAAAGAAAATGTAGTCTCCAAATTTATTATTAAATTTATTTTATTGTATACCGGAATTTATCAACGATTTAGCATAGTGAACAGATATATGATGTGGTTCTTCGAACTTTCTAAGGTTATGGAAAAGTCAGTAGACGTTTGTTCTTATTCTTGTAAGGTTATAGAAATTCTTTTAAACTTGTATTCTGTGTCTCATGCATACAACAATTGTCGTTTCTCTGAGTTTCGTTTTCTAAATTTTTGGACTTTTTCTCCTGACCTTTCATTTGATTTGAATCTTGAGCAACCAATAAGTTGTAACTTTGGCATAAGATAAGTTTTTTCATTGGATGTTTCTGTATTCACGTGTAGTATGTAGTATGAAAATGATAACTACATGGTCAGATATATAGCTGACAATCTTAGCGAATATAGATTTTTTTCTTTTTTCTTTTGAACGACCTTAGCGAATATAGATATAAGTTAACTATCTATCTATATATATATATATATATAGATAGATAAAGTTGATGTGATCCTATTATTAGGTTGCCACCTCACTTTTAGAGGGTGTTTCTAAATTCTCCATTTTGCCACGTCAGTATTTTATTTAATTTATTATATTTTCTATTTTTAATATTTTAATTTCATAATAATTAACATTCATTACTATAATAAATTTAACAAGAATATGAAAAGTCATTTTTTAAAAAGGAGAAATATTATGTATAGATCTACAAAAACTATTATTTAGTAAATTTATTTATGTTAGATTATATAATTTATGTTGATGGTTTGTAGAGGAACGAAAAGGAATAGGATACCATATAATTTTGCCTACTTCAAATCATATTTAAAGACGGGATAGAAAAAAACGAAAGGAACATGATGAGACAAAACAAGACGGAAACACAACGAAACGGGATAAGACTGGACGGGACGAGACAGAAAAATTAGACATGACAAAATGAAAAAAACGGAATGAGACGGGATTGGGCGGGAGGGATGGGATGAAAGGGACATAATGGGACGGGACATAAATTTCACTTATGCTTAATTATATTTAGGGACAGGACAGAGACACGACAAAGAAAAAAAAAACATAACAGGATATGATGAGACTCGATAGGGCGGACATGACGGAATAGGACGGGAAAGAAAGGACAAGATGAGAATGAATGAAATGGGACGGGATGGGACTATACGGGAATTTTGCCTATCCTTAGTTATATTTAGGGAACGAGACGAGAAGAAACGGAAGGAGTATGATAGGACATCTCGAAATGGAAATGAACATAATGGGATAGGATGAGATGGGACGAGAAAGAACGGACATGATGAAAATGAATGAAATGAGATACAATAGGACAAGACGGTATATTAATTTGGCCTAACCATAATTATATTTAATTAATATGTGTAATATTTTCGAAACAATAATAAACAATATAAATTAATTAAATTTGCGGATAAACAATAAAATTAAACAATAATATAAATTCCCGCGCGAAGCGCGGGTCACCTCCTAGTAATAAATATAGATCAAACTGATTATGATATACTCCATCTCTTTCTGAACGACAATTTTTTTTTAATTTTAACACATTAAGAAAAAAAATTATTCTCTATCTAAAATGTATAAATTATTTAAACTAAAAGAATTCCTATGAATTTAAACCAATAGTAGTCCAAATAACAGAAATATTATCAATAAATGTTTTTTTGAAATATGAATTTTTTTTATCAATTGATTAAAGTGGATCAAAAACTTATAAATTTAATCTTTAAGAAACAAAAAAATTATAAAAAGTCATTTTTCAGAGCAAGTATTAGTTTGTTGCTAAACCGCGGTCGTATTTAATTAAGCCACTACAAAATTAGTAGCCGAACTGTTGTCGTATATGGTCACCTGTATACAAAGGCTATCAATGGTCATCTGGCCACATATTGGTTGTAGCCATATGAAAATTTATGGCCTCGTAGTGCCTAATTTAGCCTTTGTTTTTTAATGACTTTGTCGTGACCAATTTTTGTAACTTTGAGGTAGTGAATTGTGTCTATTTAGCCACATAAGTTACAAAATATCACTGGTGACACTTTTCCCATGGTTTTGAGTTTGCCACGAGCGTTTTACGGCATATTTTTTTATAGGGTTTTGTGTTTACCACTAGCGTTTTTACGACATAATTTTTATAGGGATTTGTGTTTACCACGAGCGTTTTAGGCAAGTATTTTTTCAGCAGCGATCTTTGGATAAAATTGAAGTTAGTAGCCACAGATTTTGATCTTCGGCTAAAAAGTTTTAGTTGTGTAACTTATGGTTCCTTTGGAGACATCCAATAAAATTGGAACGATACGGAGAAGATTAGCATCGCCCATGTGCAAGATGCGCAAGGATGACACACAAATAAAAAAATGGTCCAGAGTTTTCTTTATGAAAATAAAAATAATGTAATGACAGTCTTCAATAATATCACGCATTTATTGTTACAAATATTTGTCTTGTTCATAGGCAAACTCAGAAACAATTTCAGTATCTGTGTCCCCTAATCAAGAGATCGGTTGATGTTTGTCTGAATAGTTGCATGCTTCTTCAACAATAAATCTTTTCTTTTTCGTAAGAACTTTAGATTATGAGCAAAGGTTTAGAAAGATGTTAAACAATCAACGAGTTCATCTTTTTTTCTTAATTCAGGGTAAATTATAGGTTTATATAGAAGAATTCAGACTAATTCTTGGGAGAGATGCAGCCCACGGATAGATTCTTTCTCCGGGTATTCAAAAATATGCCGAAAATAAAGAATAAGGATTTCATAAGGGAATCGATTCGTAGCCTATAACATCAGGGTAACTCCTCAATCAAGGGGAAACCATTAAACTACCACTACTTGGTTCAACGAGTTTATCATGAAACATCATATTTCACTAAATCTATTTTTCTATACATCTGTGCCATCTCAAAAAACAAATGTAAAATATTTAACTCACAAATATTTGTATTCAAAGTTTTGTTTTCCACATATCTGAAAGAGAATCATCTGACAACACCAGATAGCTAATTAAAATTCCGAAGCCACACTAATGGTACTAATTTAGAAGTGACAACACCATAGGCCATTCCTACTACATAGCCATGGATAGTGATGGATTGTCAATAGCTAAAGCCTAAAACCAAACAACATGTTACTGATCATTTTGATGATTTGAATAAAAAAAGTTCCACGGTATATTCACGCCATTCCTTTGCCAGTTAGCAACGGGTGGCTAGAGATGCAACCATAACTAACTTTCAACGGATTGACAGTTAACTCCCATAGCTAGATGAGTAAATGTTGCAATATTCTTTAAAATATTGGGAGACCAAATCCTTTACCAAAAAAAAAGAAAAAATATTGGGAGACCAGGAAAAGAGTAGACCATTCCATGTGAAAGAGACGATGTCATTCAAACTATTGGTCTCAAACCACATTTTTCACATTGTTATATTTTAACTCATTACTAATACTCTCCTCCTCTATATAAACACAGCCAAATTAGGGACCAGTACATTAACACACACAATCTAAAGAACATCATTAGCCTTGAGAGAGAAAAAGAACAATATAAAAAAAAAAATGAAGCTCCCTTGTTCTTCTTCTTCTGATGATCTCCACGCCTTGGTCAATGAAATTAAGAGAGACGTTCAGTTGTCCAACATTAATCATGATCCGTACTCGTTTGTCTCTCCTTCGGCTTACGACACGGCTTGGTTAGCCATGATCGAAGAAGACGACAACGTAGGTGATGATGAGCTTAAACCGATGTTCCAAGGTTGTCTAGATTGGATTATGTGCAATCAAAATGCTGGAGAAGGTTTTTGGGGAAACTCGAGCGGTTATACTACCGCGGGAGACGAAGACGAAGAAGACATGCACACTCTAACGTCTACTCTTGCTTGTGTTGCTGCACTTCACAAATGGAACATGGGGTGTCTTCATCTCCACAAAGGTGCGTTGACTTTGATTTCCCATTATCGTTGCAAGTAAAAGATAATTGCTTCCGTAACCCATAACCCATCATGCCTGGCCTACTGCGTTATTCACCTGCTCATATTATTTATTTAACATGCATTTTTGTTTTTATTCTATCGGAAAGCATTTATTTACGGTACATCGCATGTTCTTTCGCCTGCTTCCGCTAATTTGATGATTAAATAAAATGAAAAAGTAGTACTTTGATAATTAAATACTAGCATACATTAATATTATAAGTGCAACTAACTAAAACATAAGATGTTTATTTAAAATTATTAAAGTATTTATAAAATAATTTTTTGGCGTTGTCTAAACATAAATTATAGACTAAAACAATGATATAATTATATTTTTTAAATGAAAAATGAAAATACTAAAAATATTAGAAATAATACACCCAGTTATTGCAGTTTACTTTCGTCTATCTTGTCAATGAGACAGTTTTTAACCATGTTTAAGTTTTTTAAAATTAATTTAAACCAGGGAAAAGATTTATTGAAAGAAGAACGGAGATGATCATTGGGAAATACATCAACGAAGAAGGATTTTATCCTCGCTGGTTTGTTATCAAATTCATAGGAACCCTCGAGCTTGCTCAACAACTTGGCCTACACTTTGTCTTCTCTAGTCGCTGTATCGAAATGATCCAAGAAATTTATTATCAACGCCAAGAGATTCTCAAAAGGTGAAAGTTACATGAGAAGAAATATTGATTGAAATAGTTTCGTAATTATACATATACTAAAAACCGGGTTTTCTTGGTTTTGCAGAGAAAATTTGGTGGATGGTTGTAACCATAAACCTGTACTGGCATATCTAGAGGTGTTGCCATCAACACTATATGTCAAAAATCTCAAAGACATCATCATTAAGACCCTCGACAGAAATGATGGCTCGTTGTTTCATTCGCCTTCGGCAACCGCATCAGCATTTATGCTCACTCGGAACACAAAGTGTCTAGCTTATCTTAAAAATCTCGTTCAAAGATGCCCTCATGGAGGTTTAGTGAACATTCTGTTTGCTACGTGTATAGTTTATATCTGATTAACAATTTACTTGCATTTAAATGTTTCTTAACAAGCTATATGTATGATTTTTGTCTCAGTGCCACAAAAGTACCCGCTCAATGAAGAACTCATAAAACTCTCCATGGTTAATATAATCGAGAATATTGGTTTAGGAGAGTTCTTCACAAGAGAAATTGAACATGTACTTCAACAAGTTTACAGGTAAGAAAAATTTGTAGTCACCATTTTTTATACTTCTTTCAAAATATAAAATGGGGAAATTTGACAAAATCATGACCCGATTGAAAAACTAACCTAAGTTTTAAAATATTTGAAAGTAATATTTGTATCTCTTTTTTATCTCTATGAAACATGATAATTACAAAAATACAATAATCTTAAATAGTCAAATCAACATATTATTATATTATTAGAACAAAATATGTATGAAAAACTTTACTTTTCCTCGTGTACATTTAAGGAGCTACGAGGCAGAAGACGTTGAGAGACTTCCGATTTCGGATCAATTGCACAAGGACTCTCTCGCATTTCGGATGTTAAGAATGCATGGGCACGATGTTTCACCTAGTAAGAATTAATCATTATCTCGGTTACGTGTAGAAATTATATTGTCAAATGGATTGCTTGTTTTTTTTTTTTCTGTTCCTGAGTTTAAAAGTCTTCGTATAAATGATTTTCAGGAAGCTTTTGCTGGTTCATGAATGATATAGAAACTCGAAATCATTTAGAAAGAAATCTAGACTCTAGCGTCCCCGTAATCCTTAGTGTTTACAGAGCCACAGATCTCATGTTTCCTGGAGAGCATGATCTTGAAGACGCAAGAGAATACACTCGGAAGTTACTTGAGAGAAGTCGGTCTATCGACGAAAAAATGGTACGTACCAAGATTTTTGATTTTTCAAGAACTTGAAATGCTTTAAGGGCTTTAAAAATGCATTTGTTAATCATACAAATAATAAATGATTGATTTTCTAGATTAAGCATGAATTAAGTACTCCATGGATAGCTCGCCTAAAACACCTTGATCATAGGATGTGGATTGAGGACAAGAACTCATATGTTCTCTCAATCGGAAAAGCCTCATTTCTAAGGTATATATATTATATATGCAATTGATTATCTAATTTTAAATGGTTTTAAGACTAGGTAATTTAAGGTTTGTCTGTTTGTGGTTTTATGGAATCAGATTACATAGCTCATACAGCAACAAACTGACTCATCTTGCTGCAAAAAACTTTGAGTTTCGACAAGCCATATATCGACGTGGGCTGGAAGAATTGACAATGTAAGTAGACTTCAGTTTTACGCTTCGGACCAATTGTGGAGAACAAATACATTTTTTAGTCAAACTATGGCTATAAATCCTGAGATATTTTTATAGCAAATTTTAAAGTTTTGGCACGCAAAATAGAATCCAATAAGTGTATATTGTATTCTAACAAGGGAGATTTGAGACAGGTGGGTGAAGAAATGGGGACTTAACGATATTGGTTTTGGTAGAGAGAAGACAACATATTGTTATTTTGCAACTGCGACTTCATTGCCCTTTGAAACTGCCGTTAAAGTTGGAAAGTTAGCAGCCAAGAGTGCGATCCTCATCACAGTTGCCGATGATTTTTTTGATGAAGAAGGTTCTTTGGATGATTTGAAAGTTCTTACTCAAGCCGTTTTAAGGTACATTTTCAAATTTTCGGTTATACTTGTATAATAACTTAAATATCTATTGGTTCTTGATTGATGTTTACGTATATATGATAGATGGGAAGGAGAAGAGCTTAAAGGTTACGGCAAGATCATATTTAGAGCACTTGATGATATTGTAAAAGAGACTGCTGAGACTTGCCGTAAGCAACACGGAATCGACGTAACAGACCATCTTCGCAACATCGTATGACTAGTCGACCTAATCCTTTATACTTTTCTTTCAACGACTTTTTATTATGTTTGACTTATTCAAAAGAATAAAATAGTCATTTTCTTTCCTAAAAATAATTCCAAAAGTCTGAAACTTAAAAGTTAAAACATAATTAAGTTCCAAAATTCTCATGAAAGTTTTCTTATTGTCTATTATCATGCATGCAGTGGGGTGAAACTTTTGAGTCATGGCTACGTGAAGCCGAATGGAGTAAGAAGGGACACACACCGTCGATGGAAGAATATCTTCGAAACGGAATGATCTCAATCGCAACACACACCCTTGCTCTTTCCATCTCTTGTCTCATGGAACCTTGTTTTCCCCAACAGAAACTCAAACCCGGATGTTATGATAACATAACTTCATTGCTCATGATCATACCTCGACTTCTAAATGATCTACAAAGTTATCAGGTAATTCAACTTTTAGCCCTAAAATATCTCTGATAGGGTTTTAGTGGTATAATTGTCTCATTGGTCAAGATCAGTGATCGATTTATGGGGATCAAAATAGCTAGGGTTTAGTCTGGGATCCTTGGTTATGATAAAAAGAAAAATCTCATTGATAGGGTTTTTAGTTTATCCAAATAAAACTAACGTGTATTAATTTGTGTGAGTGTGTGACTTGGTAAATTGTATGGTCAAAAGAATTAATAAATTTATAATTTTGTACTTACACGATCAAAACTTGTCATGCAACCTAAATTCGCAGAAGGAACAAGAACAAGGGAAGAGCAACTCCGTGCTGCTCCACACCAAGAATCATTCAGGTGTCGAGATTGAGGACTCGATAGCTCATATCGAGAAGATAATCGAATCAAAAAGGAAAGAGTTTCTTGAGCATGTCTTAGTTGAAGGACTAAGTGATTTATCCAAACCGTGCAAAGAGATTTACATGGCTTGTTGCAGAGTCTTCGAGATGTTTTTCAACAAGAAGAACCGTTATGATTCGGACACAGAGATGATTCAAGACATTAAGAAGGCTCTCTACGATCCTGTGAATGTAAATAAACTCTCGGAGATCGAGCCTATTCCATTGATGGGACATGGTGATGAGTTTCTGATGCTTCCTATGCTTTTGAACCTTTCACCAAATATTCTTGAAATTAAGAGGAAGGACCAATACGGGGCGGTGAAAACATCCATGTGCTTGAGAAGAAGTTTTCATGCTCATAAACGTGTTATTGCCTCACAGCCTCTCAAGATTGTTGCCTCGCAGAGGAAATCAGTAGCAATGATGCCAACTATGCTCTCACCGTGCTTCTACTGATGATTAGTCTCTTATCTTTATGTGTTATGTATAGATTGGTGAATCATCTTTATTAACATATGTTGCATGTAAAATAGTGTGTGAAAATTGTTAAGAACTTGTAGGTGTGTGAGTGTAAGATTTAAAAATTGTTATATGTTGTATTCTTTTTTTTTTGTTATATGTTGTATTCAAATTTATTTTTGCTATTCACACAGGAATTTTAGAACTATTGTTGTAAACAAATAATGTAAAAGGTTAATCCTTTTTCATAAAAGGAAAAAATCTTAATTTCTTGTTACTAA